TCTCGCTGCTCGAGCCGCCTCTGCAGCTCTACTGGACCTGGCTGCTCCAGTGGATCCCGCTCTGGATGGCGCCCAACTCCATCACCCTCCTCGGGCTAGTCATCAACATGCTCACCACGCTCGTGCTCATCTCCTACTGCCCCACGGCCACCGAGGAGGTAGGGCTAGCCGCCCGCCCGCAGCCCGCGCCTCGGCGGCAGCGGAGGGGAACCCCCACCTGCTGTCCCCAGGAGCCCCAAGTTCCCCGGGTGCACTGCGAGCGGGTCTCTGGAGGCGCCTCCCGCCGCTTGGGGAGCGCGGGGAGTCCCCGCGCGGCTGAGCCTCTAGGGCAGCAGAGGGACCGACACGGCCACTGCCCCCGCGCGGTATCCGCCCCGAGCCTCTCCCGAGCTGCCTGGAGAGACTGTCACGCCGCTACCCCCGCCCCGTGACCCCTCCCCGCCTCCCTGTGCAGCGGAGGGGCTGTCAAGGTCACTGCCCCAGTCCCATGCCCACACAGATTCTCTCTCCTGAGCCAGAGGACAGCCTGCCCGGCCGGTGCCAACCTCTGGGGTGAACCTGCAGTCGGGTACTGAACACCCCTGTCTCCTGGCACAGGACTTGCGGCGGGGTTGGCCAAACCTAAGATGCTCTTTCGATACTTTGATAACCGTCCGTTTCTCTAAGGTTGTGCTAGTGATCCTGAAATTACTGCTGATACTGATCAAAGACAAGGTAATTTTAAGAGACGTCTTCTTTGCTTCATTGACTTTTTCATGAAAAACAAACTGTAATCAAGATGATAATCCTTATCACGACCCAGGGATCATAAAAACCACCAGATTTTATTAGCAATAGTTACATTTGATCTATATCCAAAAAGAACAGTAAATAATGTGGGTTTTGGACAACTGTTAAGCAGAAGCAACCCTTGGGCTGGGTGTGGTGGGCTAGAGGGCAGAGCCGGGTTCACTCCCATCTGTAGCTTATAGTATAAGTGATAAATATTACTTGGCAACTTGTGTCATTTCTTTCTTTGCCCTCCTAATAGTGAAGTCCCTTTATAATTATCTTTGAGTATCAATCCAGTGGCGGACTAATGGAGTTGAAGTTGAATAGCAAGAATACAATGGAACTACTTTATGCCTGACATTCGTGCATCCGTTTAAAAATATATATATATTTCATGGAGGCTACATTGAAAAAAATACCTTGACATTTGTCTGGTGTGTTTACTATATATTTCTTAGCAGACATTCTCATTGTTATTCCTCGTTGCTATTCATTTACATAGTGTTTGAAAAAGGAAGCTGCTCTAGCTTTTGGCTTTTGCTCCCCAGTTTCCAGAATTTCCCAGAGTGTATTTGAATGAAAAGACCCTGCGTTGGAAGTGAGGGTTGGCTTCTGACTAGCTCAGCAGCCACAGACCTGCTAAGTCTGTTTTCCCATGTGTCAAATAGAAAACAACGCCTCTTAAACCAGTTTCTCAAGGATGCGGCGGGAAGCAAACGCTATCTGCACATAAATGTAGGGAATTATAATTTGCTCAGTAAATTAAAAATATTAGTCAATGCATTAAAAATATTACTGTTATTAAGCAGTGCCCTGAAATGCATAAAAGTTTAGTTTCGATTGGTTCTAAATTCAGCTAACATTATTTGGATATTTCTGATGTTGCCAGTGTTACTATTAATTTAAGAACAATTTGTTGAACATACAAAGAGCAGGGCATACGAACAAGTCCTGGGACTTCTTTATAGGGGGGTGGAGGGGTGCTTGATGGAAGAGAGAGATTTATGATTAGTTTTTAGGCTCAGCCTCATGAGGGAAAAAGGAAGATGGCTGCAGGGATCTGAAGCACTTAAAAAAAAATAAAAAATTAGAATGGTCCAACAAGGGGATATCAGGGTTAAAATAATAAAACTAGAAAAATTTTCAAAATATATGCCATTAGATCCTGCATATGCTTCTAAGTGACGGAAACAGTGGAAATACCATTTCAGGATCCACACTGCTTGTTTGGTAAAGTCCCAGCAGTAGTGTGAAGGGCATAGCAGTTAGGCACTGTTCTGCTCTAAGGTCACAGAACTAGTAAATGACAGGACCAGGTAGGGTTCAAATCTAAGTTGGTCTGACTCCAAAGCTCATGTTCTTTTTACTGTATACTGCCACCTTCTCATTTGGAGTCCTTGCTTTTTTCTGTGTGCTATGTAGAAAAATATCTTGTGTTTTATATAATACAGGTATATAAAGTGCTTTCACCTCCATGTCCTCATATGTGTCTTGTATCAACCCAAAGAGGTGGGCAGGTTTTTTACTTTCCTAGAATGGCCTTTTCTCCCTCGTCTCAGTATTTCTCCTCTCCAGCTATCCTAAAGTAACAGTAATGTATGTTTTCATAAGAGGAAATTGTAGCCCGGAGAGGGTAAGTGACTTTAACCTGGCTTGGAACTTGTTTTCTGATTTTCAGACTTAAGGCTTCATAGTGGTTTTCCATACTTGACAGATTACTTTCAGAAAGAGTCAGGAAAAAAAGCACAGAGTTTTTTGGATTTAGATCTTGGGCTTATCTATTCATATAGGCTATAATGCTGACTGTGTATCTGTAGTAATAAAAGTATTGGATATGCTTTTTAACTTTCTTAATTTCTACAACACGAGTGGAGAGGAAAGGAAATGAATAAGAAAAAGTTGTGATTTATCTTAAGCTTCTGCAATGGTGTTCTGAACTGTCTTGCAAACTATCTTTTCCATTCCAACCAATTTGAACTACTCACTGTACAAGGATTTCTCTCCTCACCCCCCTCTTTTCTCCTTCCTCTTCCTTTCTTTTCTTTCTTTCTTTTCTTTCTTTCTTTTTTTTTTTTTTGCAGTTTTTGGCCAGGGCTGGGTTTGAACCCACCACCTCCAGCATATGGAGCCAGTGCCCTGCTCCTTTGAGCCACAGGCACTGCCCCAACCTCTTCCTTTCTTTTGCACCATGGACCCAACCACCCACCCGTCTTTCAATGCCCATTTCTAACACTACCTCCTTATGAAATTTTTCTTCCTTCTCCCAAGTCGAATCAATCACTGAATCCTCCAAACTCCCATTATAAATAACAATAACAGTGAACATTTAGTGGGTATTTACTGTGCACTGGGCATTACTTTAAGCTCCTTTTTTTTTTTTTTAATCTCATTAAGTTCCTCTCAGCAACCTTGTGAATAAGGTACTATTAATAGCCCCATTTTATAGATGGGTAAACGGAAGGGAAATTAGCCACTGCTAGGGTCACATAGCTTTATTTGGGGACTGGGATTCCAAGCCTGAAAGTCGTGCTTCCTCTGTAGAGCTTTGTAGCTCTCCTGTGGAATTTTATTTTGGTTAGAAGTATCCTTAATGAGCAGGGCCACCTACCAGATTTTAAGTTGAGACAGCAATTGTTCATTTGTATAATATCCTTAGCGCAATGCTTTGCATAAAGCAAATGTTTAGTAAGTATTTCCTGCATTATTGACGGTGTGAATGAAATAATACAGTGTAATCTTGAAAGATGTTGTTTTTCAACTCTTACTCAGTTTTAACTTTTCTTGGATGACTTACCAGTTGTTTGGCCTTGATAGTTTGAAGGCGAGTAAGCAAGTGTTAGCAGAAAAGAAGAACTGAATTGTGTCCTCTTCACTTTGATGAAGCATTTCTACCTGAACACCACTCCGAGTATATAGCCCCTGGCCCCCGTTCCTTGGCTACCTAATCTTCAACTAGAATCACAGATGCTTAGAGCTTGTGTAATAGTTTCTTCGTGTATATATGTGTGTGTGTGCGTGTGTGTGGGGGGGGTAACTCAGTGATTCGAATCTAGTTCTAGTTCCAGCCCAGTAGCATTCCTACTACCTATCACTCAGTCCAAGCACTTTTTTTTTTTTTTGAGACAGAGCCTCAAGCTATTGCCCTGGGTAGAGTACCATGACATCACAGCTCACAGCAACTCCAATTCCTGGGCTCAAGCCATTCTCCTGCCTCTGCCTCCTAAGAAGCTGGGACTGCAGGCACCTGCCACATGGCCCAGCTATTTTTTGGTTGCAGCCATCATTGTTGTTTGGTGGGCGGGGGCTGGATTTGAACCCCCCAGCTCAGGTGTATGTGGCTGGCGTCTTAGCCGCTTGAGCTACAGGCACCAAGCCCAAGCACTTATTTTTTGACTGGTGTAAAGTGTGACTCTCTCTATTACTTATTTGTGTTTATCTATTACTTAAATGTTTTTGCCTTGCTTTCTTATTTATTTATTTATTTTTTAGAGACAGAGTCTCACTTTGTCGTCCTCGGTAGATTGCCATGATTCACAGCTCACAGCAACCTCCAGCTCTTGGGTGTAGGCAATTCTCTTGCTTCAGCCCCCAGAGTATCTGGGACTACAGGCGCCTGCCACAATGCCCAGCTATTTTTTTGTTGCAGTTTGGCCCAGGCCGCGTTTGAACCCACCACGCTCGGTACATGGGGCTGGCGCCCTACTCTGAGCCACAGGTGCCACCCTTGTCTTGCTTTCTTGATTTGTGTATATAAATCCATGTCATTGTCTCTGTTAGACTGTATTTATACCAGACTGATTCTAACTTAGGGACAGGTCAAAGGACATTGACTAATAACATTTCTTTTGTTTATGACGATAGAAAGTTGAACCCCAACCCTCAATGAATCCCCAAAAAACAAAATAAAAAATAAGTTGAACCCCAAAGTGAGTGCACCTGAGGAAGCCAGAAAGCCCTTAAGAAATGGTTTCTTCTCTGTTTAAGGAACTCAGACTATAGTCACCTTTGTGCCACACAGTAAAGAGTCACATGTTTAGGGAGTAATAGAAAAGGTAATAACCTGCAGGTTTCTACTTAGATTCTTAGATTATTTTGTATAGATTTGGTTTCTTTAAGAGCTAGTATATTTCCTTTTTATCATTCTTTTACCTCTTTTTTTTTTTAAACTAGCTCACTTTTCAAGAATCATTTGTTAGAGTGGGAATCTTATAAGGGAGGGACCTCTTTTATTAAAACAAAATATAAACTCCAGACTTGTAGGAAATGAAAGTTCTAGAAGCAGGGAGGGATTCAGGGTGAGGCAAAAGGGGGCCTCAAAATGAAAGAAGGCTGAGAGCGAAAGCCTTAAATTCAGCAGCCCTGGTACTTCCTTGCCACACCCCAGTCCCAGCCCTGCCTAGAAGGAGCCCCTTCAGGTAAAGTGGAGGTGGCTACCCTTTGTGATTTGACCCTTTGATCCTTTAAGGCTTTACTAATTCCTTAGTCCTGAGGAATAAGTTGTTTCTCCTTTAAAATTCCATTTCAAGTGCAGATAAAACATGGCATTGTGATATTTAGCAAGGGCTTTAAATCTCACTGCTGGTGCACTTGACTGGGACATAAGTCAACCACTTGGATTTTGAGAAGTTAAAGAACAGAACAGGTGCCAAAGCAGCCAGTGCAGTTGGTGTGGGTGAGAGATGTGCCCTGGGGATTCTTTCACTTTCATGCCCCATTCACTTCTAGTTCCCCTTAGCACAGGGAAAGGCTGACTTCATTTTCAACAAGAATTCTATTAAGGACTAAGGAGGAAGAAAACCTGGAACAAATACAAAAAATACATTTCAAGGTACAGATTTCTCCGGTCATGAGAAAGCCCCTTTGTCCCTGAGTGCTGGTTTAACTTCATTCATGGGCAGAGTCTGGTTTCCCTTCCCCCAGCTTATGACCTGCTTCATTTCCTGAAAATACGTATGCTCTTCTCAAATGCTGGTTCTTAAACTGAGCTGAGGTCAAAGGTCTGGGTTGAACCCAGCAAGCCCCTAGGACCTTCCAGATTGGCTTGACAGAGAATGATCCTACCTTTCCTGACCACCAGCCTCCTCTGGAGCCTTGCATCTGGGGACCTCCCTCTGTAAACAAAGAAATGCCCTTCCCACCACAGGTTCCCAGTAAACAATGTCTGAACACATCACAGGTGCATAATAAGGTTAGAGCAGTTGCAAGAACAGGGTTAATCAGCCATTTCTAATTGTTACACTTTCCAGAGTCAGGTTAGCAGTCTATTAGAAACTCTATGAATTCTCTTGTAACCATCATAGAAACACCTGTCTGGTTACAACCACCCACAGCATCTCAGCGCTACATTTTTTCACATATGTACACTCTATCTTCAAATCTTCTTTCCTCCTGCCTCTTAGAAATGCAGTTTCTACTCTTTTGAAGAACGAAAGAAGTCAGTGGTATTTGGATAATTGAAATCTCCTGTTACCAGCTGACTTACTAGATATTAGTTATGTAAAGCCCTTTTCCATACATTTCAACTCACCCAAGGCCATTTTTTTTTAAGTATAAAAATTCACATAATGGGCATCGTATAGTTCCAGTATTTTCTAAATCTTAGTTTGGGAAGATTTTTGTGTTGGTGCATTACCTGTATTAGCTGTATTTACCATTTTTTATGCCATCTTTAAATCAACCTCCTTTTAAAAATTTAGACTCATTCAAAGGCTTAATATCTGTAAAATCATGGATCCAATATAGTAGCTCTTTTTCAAAGTATATTAAACTTCTCCAAAACCCATTAAAATAAATGCAAACTTATTAAAATGAAAGACTTATATCTGAATCACCTGAAAGTATCCGATGTCGTATCAGTCATAGGAGTAACAGTAATTAACATGTACTGAGGTCCTTACGTATGCCAGATATTTTTATAAGTACTTTACATGTAATACTTCATTTCACTCTCACAGTGAGACAGGTATATAGTGTTTATGGCCATTTTTCAATTGGCGAGATTGGGGCACTGAGAAGTTAGGTAACTCGGCCAACTCAGTAGGTAAGTGGCAGAGCAGGGATGTGGGACCAAGTGAAGTCCCGAGGCCGTACTTGAAGATCCCTGGGCATGTATATTCGTCCTCTGAAACCATCTCTGTAACTTATCACTTGATAGGAAGAATTGAGCTCATCAGTTGATTTTCCTCATCTAAAGGTATTTAGATGAGTACATGCATCCCGCCCATGAGAAGGTTATATCCTCATATGAAAGATGGGGCCGAGTGCAAATTAGATCACAAATGTACAGTTGAAATGCACCTCAGAGACTATCTAGTCTAGCATTTTCCTTTACAGAAGACCTAAGAAAATTCAGTATTTCAGGATGGTAAATTGGTAAATGAAGTTTGGCCAGTAAACAGAGACATATCCTTCACTTTCTGAGTCCTTTCTTTTTTTTCCTTAGAGGCGTCCTCATTCAAACACACATATAGAAAGAGATATGATACCTTGGTTAAATAATTGATCATGTGTGTTCTCTTTGATTCAGAGTTAGTTTTAACATGTCCATTGCCGTATAAAGTCGAGTTCAGATCTCTGGGTGTTTAATTTCCTCCCAAGTGACTTGACTGCTGCTATTCTTTTGATGGGATTGCAAAGTAATACAACCTCTTTGGAAAGAAGTATGGAGAATCCTTGAAGAACTAAAAGTAGACCTTCCATTTGATCCCGCAATCTCATTACTAGGTATCTAGCCAGAAGAAAAAAATCATTTTATCATAATAACATATGCACTAGAATGTTTATCATAGCTCAGTTCACAATTGAAAAGATGTGGAATCAACCTAAGTGTCCATCTGCACATGAATGGATTAATAAATTATGGTATTTGTAGACCATGGAATACTATACAGCCATGAAAAGGATGGAAACATCTTCTCTTTTAACCTGGATGGAGTTGGAGAACAGTCTACTTAGTAAAACACCATAAGAATGGAAAAGCAAATATCCAAGGTCCTTAATACTAATATGAAACCAATAGATGAGCAAATACACACCCACACAAGAGAAAAACACAATTAAGTGGGGAAGGAGAGAACAGGGAGAGGGGAGCAGTGAGGGAGGTTGGTGTGCTCTCACCTAACAGGCCAATGTAAGGGCACATGGCACACATTATGGGTCAGGCATAACTATAACGTGGACCCCACCTAACAGATGCAGAAAACTAACCTAATTGTACGTACCTTCATGTTAATCTGAAATTTAAAAAAGAAGTGAATGAATTAATAAAAATAAGTAGTAACAAAGGCTGGTGCATTGTTCATACTGCAGATTTAGATTTATAATAAGGGGTGTCTGCAGGAAGGAGGACTGCCTCAGTGGATTCCTGGATCCCTCCCTCTGCTCTGCGCTTTGGTCTGCGAGACTTGTTGCTATGGATAAGCTTCTGGAGGAATCCCAATTCTGTCTCTAGTGGTTGGTACCCTGTGCACCCAGCGTCCAGGATCCATAGTGTTCAGTTTTCCCATAACCAAAGCTCTGTGGCCTTTGTGAGTCCCTAGAGAGTCACTTTTCCTTTCTTCTGTAGTTTTTCTTTCTGGTCCTCTTGTTTTATGTAACAGGGACTCTTTTCTTGCAGCGGCATAATGTTGATGCAATTTCTTACCATTCTCGTGCCAACCCCGGTGGTTCTCCCTGCCCTGGACCCCTGCAGACCAGAGTACTGGTACTTCCCACCCAGAGCTGCTGTTTCCCCTCTACTTAGGTCCCACCCTCTTGTCTTCAGCTGCAGGAGGGCCCCACAATGCACTGACAACCTCCCTCCTGGCTGACTGACCCTGGGGTGACTAAATTCATGGGTCTCCCCACCCCCAGAATAACCCTAGCTGTGTTGAAAGAGGCTGTCTCTGTGGCCATATAAAGCCCAATCATTTGTGCAATTAGGGATTCATTTCCTGGCTGAAAGTTCTGCTTGCAGGCCCATTCCCCCAGGAAGTGAAACTGAGCCTGAATGCTTCCTGTTTTTCTCACTTTAGTGGGTTTCTGCTTTCCTGCCCTCTTTGTGCTCCTCCCCAGACCCTGTGGCTTGGCCAGAGTGCTTGTCCCTCAGAGGATGGGGTCTTTTTTTTTTTTGCCATGGAATACTATGCAGCCATAAAGAAAGATGGAGGATGGGTCTTTATTGCTTTCCCAGAACCAAGAATAGTCTGTGTACCCAACAGGTCAGTTGACACTCATTTTCAAGGCCAGCTTGGGACCTTTCTTGGTCCTAGAGTAGGGTGACCAGATTTTAACATTGGTAAAGCGGGACAGCATGGGGTGGGGACAGGGTGGGGCAGGGGCCGGGGCGGGCAGGGCCTGACAACAATGCAAACTTTGATAAGCAGTTCTCGATAATCACTTCTCAACAATTATTTGTTATTATTACAGTTTAACATTATAAAATTAACAAAAATAATATAAAACTCATATTCTGGCAAAATAGCCACATGGCAGCCGAAAACCGTATATTCCCTTCGTGTTCTCCCGCCCATTCGTGCATTCTCTCCAAAAATCGGGACTTTTTTAAATCACCGCGGGATGCGGGACAAATTGTTAAAGAGCAGGACTGTCCCACCAAAAGCAGGATATCTGGTCACCCTATCCTAGAGGTATCTCTCTAAGGGTCTTATTTCTGATCACGGAACTTGAGTCCCCTAGCAAACAGACTAGCTTCCAGTATTTGCGTCTGGTTTCTTGCTTCACGGGGCCTGGTTACATTTAAACCACATGACCTACCCTCTGTTGGCTTTCTTGGTAATTAGAACTCGTTTTCACGCATGGATATATTTGAATGTCAGAAGACCGTTTGAGTTATATTGGCCAAGTTGAAATGTTCCCATCATCCACAAACAGAATAAAAGGAAGAAGAAAAATTTAAAGTGAAGTAAAACCTATTTTCTCAGGAGAATGTTTTTTAACCACTCTTATAACCTCACTCCAATTAAGAAGCTCTGCTTATTATCTTTATAGTTATCTCCCATTGCAGTAGAAATTGTTCATTGGTGCAGAATAGTGAGTACCACACAGTGGCATACAGTCCGTTTGATGAATTAAACAACTCTTTAGAAAGCAACAAAGACTAGTTCGCCTCATTTCATAGAACCAGGATAAATCATTGAGGAAGTTAAGAGTAAAATTAAAGCCACTTGACAGCGCGCTGTGGGAAATCTACACACTCCTTTAACAGAGGGCTTCTAAAGAACCAGTTGTATCATTCTTTAGCTTGTGGATAGAAGTGAGTCTGACGGTTGTGCAGGTCAGTCTGAAGCCCTGTCACTCGCCTGCTGACTGGCTGTGCCATGAGGGCCAGAGCCAGCGGGTCAGGTCAGCAGTTACTCCTCGAGGACTCTAGCACACTTAGACAGTAACCAATATACAAGCATGGCTCTAGCCGCCATCTTAGGAGGAGCTTTGAATTTTTGTACAACTGAAGAGAGAGGTACTTTACATTTCATATTCTGGTATGTTAGAAATCACCCACATTCTTTCCTACCTTATCATTTGTTATCCAGTAAGGTGATTGTTACTATCAAATCATTGGTCACAGGCAAAGAAAGACAATTATCACTTTAAGAAGAATAAAATAGAACATCATCATGATTCAATTTCTAGTTATTAAAAACTTGGCCAGGTGCGGTGGCTCACGGCTGTAATCCTAGCACTCTGGGAGGCCAAGGCCCGTGGATTGATTGAAAGTGTTATTACTTGGAGTAGCCAGGGGAGCCTAGAGCACATGAAGGCCCTGCCCCCAAATGCTCCTGTAATACAAACTGAAAATTATTTGGGGATAAAGACCTTTATTGTCACACTTGGTCCATTCATTGGGAGATACTGACTGGACATACAGTCTGTGCCAGGCGAAGTGCTGGGGGACCGGGAGCAGCAGTAAGTGAGTGAGACCTGTCCCTGCTCTTGCTCTGCTTCAGGTCAACTCAGCTCTAGAAAATGAAGTCTGTTAAGTCAGAAGGAAAGAGGAGGAGCACAGTTAATCTGGGATATTTGGTTGGGGAGGCGGCGTGGAGCAGAGAAGACGAGCTGACAGTCCTAGACTGTTCCCCTTTATGTCTGAGCCACAGAGCTGTGGCAAGCAAGAGTGTGCACTCTCCGGGAGTTCTGATCCCTCCATCGCCCATCACCCATCGCCGGCCTGCCCCGTCCCTTTGTCTTTGATATGGAAACATTAAGATTCTTGTACTGAAGGGCTTTCTGCAGGGAATGCTGAGGGAATACAGGATTTCTCAGAGCTGCTGTTCACCTGTGGATTGCAGGTGGAAAAGCAGATCCTATGTGAGAATTAAATACATTAATGGACTTCCAGAGTTTCAGTTCCCTTTTTTCCAGTACAAGCTTTGTGCCTCAGAGGCTAACTAAGGTAGTGGTATACAGCTTCTAGGCTAAGATGTTAGTTTAATTTGTTTGTGCTTCTGTCTCATAATTAGTGTTGCCAGAAAGCACTGAGGAAGCTTTAGAATTATGACTTCGTTTTCTTTAATCCCATAGTGAATAATAGAATCCTGTAAGTAATTCAATTGACTAGAAAAGTGAAAATTTCCCAACTACTCACTCTTTTTCAGTAGTGTAACAATGGAGGCTTTTCTTCTTTTTAATGCTTAGCGCTTATGATTGATTCTTAGTAATTATTTTGTTTTCTAGAATAAACTTATGATAACCCTTCATGAAATCAAATAAAAGGCACTCTTAGGGATGTTATTAAATTATGATGCAGCCCCATAATTGAATACCAGGTGGTCATTAAAAAAAATGTAGATCTGTATGTTTGGAAAAATTTCTATAATATATTGTTAAACTCAGCCAGGCATGGTGGCTCACGCCTGTAATCCCAGCACTCTGGGAGGCTGAGGTGGGTGGATTGCTTGAGCTCAGGAGTTCAAGACCAGCCTAAGCAAGAGCAGATCTGGTCTCTAAAAAAATAGCCAAGTGTTGTGGCAGGTGCCTATAGTCCCAACAACTTGGGAGGTTGCGGCAAGAGGATCACTTGAGCCCAAGAATTGGAGGTTGCTATGAGCTATGATGCCATGGCACTCTACTGGGGGCAAGAAAGTAAGACTCTGTCTCAAAAAAAAAATTGTTAAATTCTGATCTTAAAGATACAGTAGACATTCTGGGCAGTGCCTGTGGCTCAGTGAGTAGGGCGCCGGCCTCATATACCGAGGGTGGCAGGTTTGAACCCGATCCCAGCCAAACTGCAACAGAAAAATAGCCAGGCGCCTATAATCTCAGCTATTTGAGAGACTGAGGGAAGAGAATCGCCTAAGCCAAAGAGCTGGAGGTTGCTGTGAGCTGTGATGCCATGGTACTCTACCAAGGACAACAAAGTGAGACTCTGTCTCTAAAAGAAAAAGAAGATACGGTAGATATTCTAAAAACTATATAATTGAAAACTTTTTTTTTTCCAAATTAATATGAGGGTACAAACTATTAGGTTGCATTGTTCTTGTTTAGGTAAAGTCCAAGTTATAGTTGAGCCCTTGAACCAGGAGATGTGCCATAAAAATATGGAAGCTTCACTAATTTGCGTTGTCATCCTGAGCAGGGGCCACACGGATCTCTGTATTGTTCTAATTTTATTATATGTGCTGTGGAAGTGTTCAGTGTTAGAGTTTAATATTACCTGGAGAAATTCTACCATTTGGAATAGGTTCCTTGTACAGAAGTAGTCTGATGTCTTGCTTATGACTTTATGATATACAATCCAAGCCTAATTTTGCCGTCCTTACATTTTAAAACTGTTAGGAATAAGTTCCCGTTGAAACTAGAGTTGGGGGCTCGGCGCCTATAGCTCAACCGGCTAAGGCGCCAGCCACGTACACCTAAGCTAAGGTGGCGGGTTTGAATCCCCAGCCCGGACCCGCCAAACAACAATGACAGCTGCAACCAAAAAATAGCCGGGCGTTGTGGCGGGCGCCTGTGGTCCCAGCTACTTGGGAGGCGGAGGCAGGAGACTCGCTTGAGCCCAGGAGTTGGAGGTTGCTGTGAGCTGTAATGCCATGGCACTCTGCCCAGGGGGACAGCTTGAGGCTCTGTCTCAAAAAAAAAAAAAAAAAAAAGAAACTAGAGTTGGGGTGGCTCTATAGATCCTGCTTCCTCTAGGAGTCTCTGCGACGTACCCTTTTTGGAAAGACTCCTGGAAGGAAGGTGTTCTCTTGTGCCTGGCCAAGGTAGACCCCAGCCTGTTTCCAGAGAAAAGAAGTTAGAGAAGTTGAGAAAATGGGAACTCTTTAGTAGCTTCCAGCTGGGAACAGAGGTGGTGAGTGAAGGGAAGGAGATGGCTCCTGTGGCCTTGGGAAGCCTGGGAAACCTTGGGAGGACTTGGAAAAGGCACCAACCAGGTCTGGGCAGATCAGCGTGCCTCCTTGGGGGTAAAAGCAGGGATACTCCCTGTGGCTTGCAGCCACTCCCTGGGGGTCATACCACTTGGAATGATATTGTGTGGGCGGGAGGGGCCCTTTAGCAGATATCATGGAACAGGTAGTTTTCCAAGAATTCAGGTGCGGCAGGGTAGCCTGAGGTGAGTAGATCACATATCAAGGTGCAGGTCTGGAGACCTGGGTTTGCTTTATGGCCCAGCCTCACTGCTTGCCCTCCCTTGTTTCACTTTCATCTTTAGCATAAAGAACAGGATAAGTGCCCTACCTCTGTGGATTTCTGGATCAAATAAAATAATACACTAAGAGTGTTCATTGTCGTACTGTTTAAGCTCCTACCTCTTTTATAACCTTACCTCTTACAATTACCTGTTCCTGGAACACGGATGCAAGTCAATGACCCATGAGAACCTTTCACCTTCCAGCCTGTACCTGGGTTTCTGCCTAAACCTCTTCTGTTTTTTCCTTGTTTAAATTCTCCCTGTCCCTCTTTCCTTGTTTAAACTTTACATCTTGGCTCGGCACCTGTGGCTCAAGCGACTAAGGCGCCAGCCATGTACACCTGAGCTGGCGGGTTCAAATCCTGCCCGAGCCCACCAAACAACGAAGGCTGCAACCAAAAAATAGCCGGGCGTTGTGGCAGGCACCTGTGGTCCCAGCTACTTGGGAGGCTGAGGCAGGAGAATCGCTTGAGCCCAGGAGTTGGAGGTTTCTATGGGCTGTGATGCCATAGCACTCTACCCAGGATGACAGCTCTGTCTCAAATAAATAAATAAACTTTACATCTCAAGCCCTCTAAAATCCTAACAAAATAATTATAACGTGATAAAAACAGTCTTCATTTCCCTTTTTCTAATGAGCAAGATGTAATTTGGGGCAGAGGCTACCCCCAACGGTGGTGTCAAATAATAAACAAATTTATCTAAGCATGAATTTCTGTTAACACCTGAACCTGTACACCTGCCTGCAGCCAGTCTCTCAGTCAGAGGTCAGAGTTAAGTTTTTAACATTGACCTTTGGGTGTACTCCTTGAGAAGCTCAGATTTTTAGTATAAAAAGTCACTAGAAGGGAGAAATGGAAGATCCTTCAGGGAAGACAGTTTCTTTTCCAGAAGTTTTTCATTTGGGGAGAAGAGTATTTGATGGCAAATAGAGAAGAGAAAAATGACATTTTATGTCATTATAGAAAGATTAATAACTTGAACTTCCAATTTTATACATATTTTAAAGTATAGCTTTGCTTTGGTCATCAAAATTAAAACTAAATACTTTTATGGTAGAAAAATAAGAATTTGCTAGCTTGGTACGGTCAACTAATTTTTGACAAGGCACTATGGTACAGGAAAAACTGGATTTCCACATGTAAAAGAATGAAATTGGACCCTTACCTTATACCATAACAAAAAAAATGTTTAAAAAATCTAATATATAAAACTAAAACTCCTGGAAGAGAACATAGGACACAGTAGCTCCTAGACACTGGCCATGGCACTATCTTGGATATCACCCCAAAAGCTTAGACTGCAAAAGCAAAAATAAATAAATGAGACTACATCAAACTAAAAAGCTTCCACATAGCGGACTAAACAGAAAACATAATGAAACAGCAGCCTACAGATTGGGGAAAAATATTTGCAAACTGCATCTCTGGTAAGGGCTTACTATCCAAAATTTATAATGAAGTCATACAACTCAATATTGGAAAATCAAATAGCTTGATTAAAAAATGGGAAAAAGAGGCCAGACAGGGTGGCTCACGCCTGTAATTCTAGCACTCTGGGAGGCCAAGGCAGGTGGATTGCCCGAGCTCAGGTGTTCAAGACCAGCCTGAGTAAGAGCAAGACACTGTCTCTAAAAACTAGTAGGTGTTTTGTTGGGCACTGGTAGTCCCAGCTACTAGGGAGGCTGAGGCAAGAGCATCACTTGAGCCCAAGAGTTTGAAGTTGCTATGAGCTATGACATCATGGCACTCTACCCAGGGTGATAAAGTGAGACTCTGTCTCAAAAAATAAATAAATAAATGGGAAAAGGACCAGAATATCTCAGCCTCGTATGTCCAAAGAAGACATAAAAGGCTGATTACTGTGGCTCTTCCCTGTAGTCACAGCAGGCTTGGGAGGCTGCGGCAGGAAGATCACTTGAGCCCAGAAAGTTGAGGCTATGAGCTACAATGACACCATGGCACTCTAGCCCAACAGACAGAGCAAGACAATATCTCAAAAAAAAAAAAAATTATTAGTTTGAAAAGGATTAACAGAATTGTTCTCTGGAAAATACTTCCAGAGTCTTTCAAAAAGGTGGGTTGTGCTTTGCTTGCTTTTCGTTCTTCTGCTGTTACGATTCTCCAGTTACCTTTTTGCTCTCTATTAAATTGTTGCATAGTTTCCAGATAAGCTTTTAAAAATAGGTGGATTCACCAGGTGTGGTGGCTCATGCCTGTAATCCCAGCACTCTGGGAGGCCAAGGGGGGTGAATTGCCTGAGCTCATGAGTTTGAGACCAGCCTGAGCTGCTAGGGCTGTACACTCTGAAAAGTCTGCCTGATGCCTTGGGTATTAACAGTGCCCAGCCTTGGATGAGCTACAGGAATTGTGTGATGTTCCTTCCACACTCCAGACATCTCTGTCCAGCCTGGGTTAGTAGTTTTGTCTCATTTAGGCTCAGGTCAGCGAGTAGTTTTGCCTTTCTGTGGACCTCCACAGCTTGTGCTCCTTCCCGCACGGCTTCACAAATTCCAGCTGCCTTGACCTTCCTGAACACGGACACATTTCTTCTCAGCCCAGCAAGACGACTGGGCTCTGTTCTGGTCCCATCCCTGCATGGTGGTCTGGAAACTGACTTTGGGCGCTAAGCTGGAACTGTAGGGCTCAACCTCCTTGGTTTCCCTTCTCCCTGGGTGTTGCAGGCCTGTGCTGGCTGCAGTGTCTGAGGACTATTATTTCATATATTTCATTGCCTTCCTGATTATGTAAAGTGGGAGAGTAAATCCACTTCCCGATACTCCATCAGGAATGGAAGCAGATGTCTGTAGTTTGCCTCTAACGGCTTTTTGTATAGCAAAAAAAGACATACAGCTTTCATAGTTTCAAAGCTGTGCCATCTATGAGTAGTATTATATTAAAAGAGCTGCTTGGGTGGCCCCTGTGGCTCCCTGGGTAAGGCGCCAGCTCCATATAGGGTGGCGGGTTCAGACCCAGCCCAGGCCAAACTGCAACAAAAAAATAGCCGGGTATTGTGGTGGGTGCCTGTAGTCCCAGCTACTACAGAGGCTGAGGCAAGAAAATCGCCTAAGCCCGGGAGTTGGAGGTTGCTGTGAGCTGTGTGACTCCATTGCCCTCTACCAAGGGCAATAAAGTCTCTACCAAAAAAAAAAAAAAAAAAGAGCTGCAGAGTAGGATTCAAGATCAAGCCCTAATCCTTGAGCCATTTAACTTTGTGCTTCTCACAGTATGGACTTCTGTGACCCGCTACCCAATTTCATATCCGTAGAAGGAAAATTATAAATGTTCTTTATAATACACTGAGATGATACAAAGTATGAACCCAAGAAAATGGGTTGTAAGCTATTTTTATACAGAAGCTATCTTGCTGTCACTTAACTGTCTGTCTTATTTACATTTATTCTTAGGCACCATACTGGACATACCTATTCTGTGCCCTGGGACTCTTTATCTACCAGTCACTGGATGCTATTGACGGGAAACAAGCCAGAAGAACAAATTCATGTTCTCCTTTAGGGGAACTCTTTGACCATGGTTGTGACTCTCTTTCGACAGGTAAATTGGTGCAGATACATATTTGTTTGTTTGTTTTGTCCTAATACTGTAAAACTAAAATGAACTGAGCTGTTTGAATAGTCCACTTTGGGGGAAGAATTTTGCATAGTGTGTTTAAAAAGTACGTTCAAGAATTCATTTTGTTAAGTGTATTTTAATGCCAAGATTATTCCCCTGTATTTGCAAGCAGCATGGGACAGTTGTTTTATTAAGTATTTTTAATTCTTAATGGCTCTTAAATCATGTCTCTTTCAGTGTTTATGGCAGTGGGAGCTTCAGTTGCTGCTCGCCTAGGAACTCACCCTGACTGGTTGTTTTTCTGCTCTTTTATCGGGATGTTCATGTTCTATTGTGCTCACTGGCAGACGTACGTTTCAGGCGTGTTGAGATTTGGAAAGTAAGTGTGTTTCTTTGGTTCTTTGGTTGTACATTTAAAAATATAATCCAAGACTTGGGTAATTTGCATGTCATATATATAGTTAATATTATTTGATAATAATTTTATTTTTCTTCTCCCCTTCTCCGACTTACTAGCCCAAGCTTACAATAGACAGGAGAAAAAGAAAAATAAGGGACCTGAATACTATAGAAACAGGATATGCAGCAATTAAATAAGCAGCGTTTGATACGTATAACAAAATAATGTGATATGGAGTCTAAGGTCCTTTTTGGTCAAATCTTCATGTACCCCAAAGGGGAACCCCCTTGACAGCAGTCACCAACAACAGGTGATCGTGGGCCTCTCAGCTGTGGGAGACAATTGGCGAGCTCCTGTAAAAGCACCTTGTAAACGCTCCAGCTAAGCATTAGACAGTATGTGGGCCTCTCATGAGACCCTAGGAAGTAGTGCACAGAGCAAGAACGCTGTTCTCTGTTCCTGTTTCTCATAGAGCTTCCTCTCTGCCTGCTCCTTTAAGAACCATCTGCCACTTGCTCGTTCTTGGCTTTGGCTTCTCATGTCTGCTCATTCTTTTTAGCCCCACTTCAATGCTCCGTAATGAGAAATGAGGGGAGAAGCTCAAAACTATGGATCGTTCAACAGAGGGCAGGCTCTAGGCAGTTTTTCACATTGATCTCAATTATGGACTAATCGTATTTACTACCTGTTGAGCACTTACGAAGTGCCCTACGTCATCTGCCTTATTTCTCACATTAACACTGAAAGGTGGGTATCACCCCCACTGTACAGATGAGGTGGTGCAAATATACCACCAATAAGTGGTAGAGCTGAGATTAAAACTCAAGTCTATTTGACTCCCAACCCCTCAGTGATTGGTGCTCAACACAGTGGGATCAATGATGTATCTGTTGCTGTGGAAGGATACAAAATACGTTTAAGATATAGTGCTTGTTTTAGGGATGATATTCTATCCTTATTAAACAGATAAGAAAATGCTTCTATGACACTGTTAATATACTCCTTTCCAAATGTAAAATGACTTGCTTTAGGTTTCCAGAAGCCCTGAGGCAAAACAGAAAAGCAGCTTTGCAAAGTGCAGTGCATTCTGATTATCTGAACTTACTATGGTGAACTGGAGTTCATCTAACAATGTAATGTTTTGGTTAATTGTCATTATCATTATTATTTCATGATTAATACTTGACCTTTCAACTCCTAACTTCATTAAAAATCTTTCTGCGCTCGGCGCCTGTGGCTGAAGCAGCTAAGGCGCCAGCCACATAAACCTAAGGTGGCAGGTTCGAATCCCCAGCCCAGGCCTGCCAAACAACGATGGCTGCAACCAAAAAATGGCCGGAGTCGTGGCGGGCGCCTGTAGTCCCAGCTACTTGGGAGGCTGAGGCGGGAGACTCGCTTGAGCCCAGGAGATGGAGCTGTGAGCTGTGATGCCATGGCTCTCTACCCAGGGGGATAGCTTGAGGCTCTGTCTAAAAAAAAAAAAAAAAAAAAAATCTTTCTGAAACGAATTAGTTCATATTTCTGACCTAGTTTATACTCACTTGCCATTGATTGAGAGCTCCATATATGTGCTTAGGCCTGGCAGTACAAAGATGAGTCACCTGTGGATGGGGGTATGCCAGGCAGATGGGGGAAGAGCATTCAGCCAAGCCTCCAGAAATTCTTACAAACAGAGCCAGTGTCACTTGTTTTTTTGACTAGGATGGATTTCCTGAAAATCTGTCAATTTTTGAGTTTAATTTTTATAGTGTATATAGTATTTGAATACAGATACATGAAACCAGGCCTTAACAATCTCAGAATGTACTTGTGGAGATTTGTTCTATGACTATTTTCTTGGTTTAAACTGTTTTATGTTGTTTCCCACATTTCTGAAAGAATGAAGAAAAAACATGCCAGATGAGTTTGTTTAATTGGGCTGAAGAAATTAAAGTTTTATTAATATTACTGTATTTTGCCTTTTTTCTAAATTTTATTCTAAATATATTCTTTTATTCTTAATTTTAAAATATTTAAATAATTTCTAAAATATTTATTCTAAATATATTCTTTTTTTCTAAATTTTAAAGCCATTTAAGTCATTTCTTAATATTGATTCTGCTTTAAGGGTAATAGTTAGAAGTACAGGCCCAGGAATGAGACTGGGTAGAATCAAATCTTGGCTCCAATATACCAGTTATTCGACTTGAAATATATTATATTAATTTCATTTTCTTCAGTTTCTTATTCCATAAAATGGTGGTAGTCATCATAATTGTCTTAAAAGTTTATTGTGAAAATTAAATAATAATATATGTAAATGATAGTACGGAATCTAGAACATGGAAGTATAGGGTGACCAGATGTCCCACTTTTGGCGGGACAGTCCCACTTTTTAACAGTTTGTTCTGGGTCCTGCAGCATTTTAAAAAAGTCCCGATTTTTGGAAAGAATGCACGAACAGGTGGGAGAACAGGAAGGGAATATATGGTTTTCGGCTGCCATGTGGCTATTTTGCCAGAATATGAGTTTTATATTATTTTTGTTAATTTTATAATGTTAAACTGTAATAATAACAAATAATTGTTGAGAAGTGATTATCAAGAACTGCTTATCAAAGTTTGCATTGTTGTCAGGCCCTGCCCTGCCCCCCCCCCCCATGTTGTTCCACTTTACCAATGTTAAAATCTGGTCACCCTATGGAAGTACTCAGTAATAAAGTTAGTATTATTATGCCATGCTATTTTTATTTTAATTCAATATGTTTTATATGTTTGCTTTCTCATAAGTGACATTAAAAAATAACTCTTAACTACTAAAAGAAAAACAGATATCTTATGAATTAATTAGTAAGAAACTGATACCATAAGGAAATAAGTACATAGAAGAAATTGAGTTCAAGTAAATTTCATACAGGAGAGTAGCATCATTTATTGACGACTGCTGCAATATTTTATACAATGTTATAATACAATATTTTTGCAATATTTATACAAATACTTAGAGCTTTCATTATGTGCCAGGCACCGTCCTAGGTGCTAAGGTGAGAGTAAACAAAACAGACAGAAGTCCTGCCTGCATGGAACTTAGTGAGAAACCTACAGCTAAACCCACCAGTGCTGCAGACGATGGGTTGGATGGTGATTAGTGCTGTCTGTCAAGAACTGTAAGGGACCTGGGATTTTATCCTACTTAAAAGCGACAAAGTAAGCCTATTAGTATTTCATGGATGCTGACAGGAGACCAGGAACTCCTGGGTCAGAGGCAGGCAAAGGACAACATTATTACTCAGGATAAAAGCAGTAGCCAGAGGTTCCTGTATGTGCCAGGTTCCCGTGTTCCTCCCCTCCTGCGGTCTTGTGGGAACCACAGGTGGACCAAGATGACACCCTGCACTTGCAGCGGGTTGCAGTGTGGAAGAGGAATACTGAGGAATGGCTCCATTTTATAGCAAGCAGAGGCAAGCATGCTCTTTGTCTGGGGGAGGTGTACCCTCATCCTTCAAGGTTGCTCACTGAACACACAACCCAGAGAAATGGCCCAAGTAAAGAGTTATCTAGGATCCTGCATTCTTGACACTCCCAGCAAGAAACTTGCCAGGAAGCTCAGCATTCATGGCAGATTGCCTCTTCTAATTATATAAAGAAAAAGTAAGCAGGGAAGGAAGAGTGACAAAATACTATTAAATTTTTCTAATGAATATAAAAATGTCTTCTATACTATTCTATACTATTCTAGTCTGCTTGTGAATATTTTGTTATGTTTTATCTCTTGAAAACATAGATTTCAGTACATGTACTCATTTGTTACCCTGAAGGAGATCATTTAAACCACAAAACATTAGTAACTATTTTTAACTATAATTTTTTTTTCTTTTTTTGAGACAGAGTCTCACTCTGTTGCCCTTGGTAGAGTGCCACGGCATCCTCATCCTTGCTCATAGCAACCTCAAACTCCTGCGCTCAAGTGATCTTGCTTTAGCCTCCCAAGTAGCTGGGGCTACAGGCGCCCACCACAATGTTCAGCTGTTTTTAGAGATGAGGTCTCCTACTGGCTTAGGCTGGTCTCAAACCTGTGAGCTCAGGCAATCCACCTGCCTTGGCCTCCCAGAGTGCTATGATTACTGGCTGTGAGCCCTGCTCCTGACCTTTTAACTATAATTTTCAGTTGTTCCGTTAGTTTATGTAAAGATAGTTTATGGAGTTAATGTTAGTTAATTAATGATTAATGTTTTCCTTAGTGCAGTTACAGAAAAATTTGCAGTTACCATCTGGTCCTGTACTAATGTTTGCCATGTGAGATGATGCATATCTTATTTATATCCTGTACCAAGGGTCTTATGTAATTCAATAGCACAAACAATGCTAAAACTTATTTTTTTTTTAAGAGACAGAATCTCACTTCGTTAACCTCAGTAGAGTGCTGTGGCATCATAGCTCACAGCAACCTCCAGCTCTTGGGTTTAGGCAATTCTCTTGCCTCAGCCTCCCAAGTAGCTGGGACTACAGGCGCCCACCACAACGCCCGGCTATTTTTTTGTTGCAGTTTGGCTGGGGCTGGGTTCAAACCTGCCACCCCTCGGTATATGGGGCCTGCGCTCTACTCACCGAGCCATGGGCACCACCCACTAAAGCTTAATTTTTAAATCTAATTTAAACCAAGCATTTTAAACGCAAGGCCAGTGTTAACTTGTATGAAACATTTTAAATTCAAGGCCAGTGTTAACTTGTATTATGTAGTATTTTGCTATTCATGTGTGAATATTTATAGACTCAGTGTTAATTTTCTGTTCTTTCAAAACTGTAAGAATTTCCATATTGTATTAGATTCATTTCTCAAACTATCTCTAGTAAAGTACCAGTTCCCTTCCTCCCCCTTAATCTATCCTGGTTGAATAATGCAATTAAGAAAATAGAAAAACAAACAAAGACTTACAAAATATAGCCCTCAATATTTCGTTTGATTCAGAAACAATATTATTCTGTCAAATTGCCATAAAAGACCCTGGGCACTGTGGCTTGCACCTGTAATTCCAGCTACTCGGGAGGCTGAAGCCTGAGGATCACTTGAGTCCTGGAGTTAGAGACGAGCCTGGGCAACATAGGGACACCCTACCTTGAAAAATGAATGGATGAATAAATAAATAAATGATGAAGAAGGTAAATTAAAAAAAAATAGTCAGGGTGTGGTGGTTCATGCCTGTAATACTTTGGGTGGCTGAAGTGGAAGGATTGCCTGATTCCAAGAGTTTGATGAGACACCCATCTCTACATAAAATTTTAAAAATAGCTGGGTGTGGAGGCTGATGCAGACAGATTGCTTAAGCATAGGAGTTTGAGGTTACGGTGAGCTATCATGATGCCACTGCACTCTAGGCTGAATGACAGCGATCCTGTCTCAAAAAAAAAAAATGCCACAAAAGTTTCTAATACCTACTCTCAATTTCTGTACTTATTATTTCATTGTGAGCGAACTCTGTACCACGCTTGGAATAGCATTATTATACATTGTCCTCCACGATAACAACCTGGGGAGTTGGCATACCCTCACCATATCCCCAGGGTTCATCTTTCTTACCTTTTAAAAACATTTTTTAATTTTTTAAAAACTTGGACCCGTTAACGAGTTCTCTAAGTTTATTAACTATTATACAGAATATTCTTTGGTTTGTCTAAAATATCTTTCACGCTTCAACTGTTTTCTCATAGTTCAGATACTTGAGGATTTGGTGAGTGATTCCACCCTTACTCTTCCCATAAATGTTATATGTGTAATTTAATAGATTTTTAGCATATCCTTTCCGCTTTCTTTTTTCCAGACTCAAGAATTTATCATGTTTAGTGTATCCTAAAAAGGCACAGAAGGGGGGGGTGAAACTTTGAGTGTGATTTAAAATCTGTGGTGTGAGTGATCTACATGTGAAATCGGGTTCCTAGCTCAGCATGCATTTGTGTCATTCTGTTTCACCTAGAGAAGGTTTGTTCTATAATCCTTATCAGCGTACCTAGTTGCTTCCCATCACTAATCATACCCCATGGAAATTATGGATAACAATGTTCTGTCATTGTTAATGCAAAAAGAGAGCAACACTGATATTAAGTCAAAGTGTGTAGTAGGAAGAATGTTGGTTCTGAAGTCCTTTTCCTATAGCAATATTCAACTGTTCCAATACAAATTGAAAAGATCATTTCAATTTCCTTTTTCAAAAAAATAGAAGCGACCTATAGCTCATAGGATGAATAGGTACTTAATAAATGTTTGGACTTTTCCCCTTTTCCTCCACAATCATACCATACATTATATTGTTAAGTTTACTTTTTTCAACTAACTTGATAATTACTCCAGGAAGCCTGGAGATCTTGATTTGTCACTGATCTTCCAAATACTGGATGATACTATTCCTATTTTCCTTTTATTTGTGAGTTAAGGTTCAGTTCACCTTCTCCTTCTAACTGTCCCCAGAGTAACTTCAGTTAGGGAGTCTTTTCTGCCATATCTGGTTATATTTTATCATCTAATCCTTGTTTTTTTGCTTTTTTTTTTTTTAGACAGAATCTCACTCAGTTACCCTGGGGTTGTATGCTGTGGTATCACAGCTCACAGCAACCTCAAACTCAGGCTCAAACAATCCTCTTATCTGAGTCTCCCAAATAGCTGGGAGACTCACCCCACTAGTTTTGGGGTTTTTTTGTTTGTTTGCTTGTTTTTTCTGTTTTTAGTAGAGACAAAGTCTGGCTGTTGCTCAGGCCCGTCTCAAACTCCTGAGCTGGGGCAATCTGCCCACCTCAGCCTCCTAGAGTGCTAGGATCATAGGTGTGAGCTACCACACTGGGCCTTACATTTCTTATACATATTTTCAGAGCAGTAAATATTTCTCTAGAATCTATAGACTCTAGATGTGCAGATGTGAAGTAGGCAGACAGATATAAAAATCTGGGACTCCGGAAAAAAAATATATAGATTGGAAATGTGGATTTAGAGGTTATTAGCATTTTGATGGTAGTCTTAAGTATAGATAAAATTGTTCAGAGAATATAAAATTACAGATGAAATTCCAAAAAAACAGCTTTTAAGATACAGAGGGAGAAGCAGTATAGAAAAGAGCCTGAGAAGAGCTCTAGCAAAGCAGTAAAATCAAGAGAGAGTATGGAATAGATGAAACAGCAAATTATTTTAAGAAGGAGAACTTATCAGCATCTTAAATATTGCAAAGAAATTATGTAAGATAATTACTGAAATGTATCCTTTAGATTTGACAAAGTTAAAGTCAGTTTACTTTAAACAGTTTTAATAGTGTCCTAGGGCCAAAAGCCAGACTATAATGGGTTATGCAGAAAATAAGAAGAAACTACAAATTCAGACTAATCCTCAGTCAGCAGGTTGTTAAATATGGAGCAAATGAGAGAGGGTTGGACAGCTTCAGAGGAATATAGAAGAGAGGGACTACGTTGGTTGGTTAGTGGTTTTTTAAGAGAAATTTCAACATGTTTATATACTGGGGGAAAATGGTTATTAAGAACAAAAACTACACTATTAGTACCAAAAAGGAAAACTGTTGGAATTTTCCTTATTTTTTTAAGTAAAATTGACTAGGGAGTGTTTCGGAATTTGCCTTAAATCCTATGACTATCTTTATATTGTTTCCTGATTTACAAGAGTAATGAATAATTATTTAAAAAATTGAGACTTGGCTCAGCACCTATGGCTCAAGTGGCTAAGGCGCCAGCCACGTACACCCAAGGTGGTGGGTTCGAATCCAGCCTGGGCCCGCCAAACAACGATGGCTGCAACCAAAAAAAATAGCTGGGCGTTGTGGCAGGCGCCTGTGGTCCTAGCTACTTGGGAGGCAGAGGCAGAAGACTCGCTTGAGCCCAGGAGTTG